CACTTTTGAAAAGTACAAATAGCACTGGGTCCCCTACAGGAGATTTGGCCTGGTTTTCCCTTGGGGCACCAACACACAGTATAACTTTTGTTCGCCAGGACACCCCTCTTCTTCATTCTCCACTGCTTCCCCTACTTCTCCTGTCTTTTTGGCCCTGAACTGATAGTAAATCAGTATTCAATGATCTGTACTGACCTTACAGATTGCAAATATAAAGCCACTTTCAGAACAATAAAACCAATTCTTGGACCTTGCTTTTCATTTTGTAAAGTGCATTTTCCCTGACAAAAACATCCATTTCCGGAGGGTTTTTCTAGTCATAGTCACAGTGATGTTCAAAGTTTATTGGGGAGGGAACACACACAGTTACCTTTGCAACCTTTCTAATTTGTATTGGATTCTAAGCTCCTACATCTTGGCCCTCAGGCATTTTCCTTGATAAAGCCCTCCTACCTTCCAGTCCAGCAAAGACCAAAGACTTTGGATATGAAATTTTAAAAGTAACTACTGGAGTAGAGGCTTCAATTGTACTGGCCCAACTGGCAATCTGTGGAAGGCCACATGAATCGCTCAGAGATAACGCCCTTGCCTTTCACCTTGCAGCCACCAGTCTGAATCAAGCAGAGATTAACAGTGTCCAAGGGTTGTTATCATCTGGCGATGGCTTGGCAGCTGATATGAAATAAATTGCTAGTATCTTGCGTCTACTGGCCTGAGGTCATCGCTTCAGACTATTTTAGGACCAGATCTGAATCTTGACTGCAATGGTTACTCTAAACAGAAGCTTCTGCACAAGGATCAAATGCTAACTAAACCCACAGATTACACTTCCTCTTCCACTAATGGAAGATATCCTCTCAGACAAGGTCAGGAGTGAGCTATGGAGTCAGAGTCAGGGAAATGGACAAGGTCTGCACATTCAGAGTGACAGGATTTTGGGTATTTAATTCCACCCTGCAGGTGATTAGACTGTCTGATCTTGAATCCCACACCCAAAAGGTACAGCCATGCTCTCCTTCAGAAGGTCTCACCTCTTTTACCTACTGTTTCATCCACCTTTGACAATCATCAAGCTTTAAGAGACATATCTTTTCAATAGAACAATAGGGGAAGCTAAGCATAGTTGGTAAATTTAAAAGAAAAAGAGAAAACACCAATTCAGACTAAAGTTCCTGAGATTTTTAGAGGAAAATAATTTCTTATTGTTAATTGTTTTGTTGAAAGAGGATTTGGGGGAAGAGTATTTTTGGTCTAAATCTTAAAATACTTGCTTAAATTGTTTTCCTCTGCATTTCATTTGTAAATATTATTACACACTACTCTTGTTCTTTTATTAATCTAAAATTTGCCACACACAAACAGCCCCACGGACAATAATTAAAATTACACTTAGTGGAGCAGAACTGAGAAATACAAGGGACTTTGAGAAATATGTTGTTTTAAAACAATAAATTTTCAAAAATTTGAAGGTAGGTTTGAACTTGATGGGGTCCCCATCTTGTCCAGCTGTTACTGAGAACAAGAGTCACTGCTAAGTAAACTCTACATTCACAATATGCATGGACAGATGATTTTTAATTTTTAGTAGTTACATTTCCTTTGTAAATCTGATGAAAGCAGTGGACCTTTTGCACAGAAAAACTACACTGCACACACAAACAAAAACAAATTTTCCATACAATTGAAGGAATTCACTTAGCACATAAACTTGTCTATGGACAACTATTCCCAAAGATACCTAAACCACAGGCTAAGCATCTCTGAAAGGGGTAACTGGCATCTTTCATTAAGAGTACTACAGATTCACACCCTCTTCAAACGTAAAGGAAATTTTTAAAGTGATGAAGCAATACATCCAACTAGAACGAACAAGAGTCAATATTAGTAGTTTAATCAATTCTAGTTATATGGTGAAAACACTGAATACGTGTTTGTACCAAGTTCCCCACTTTCTCTCTCATTTTAAAGTCAGAGGACTCTACCCACTGGACAGTTTTGAAATTGAAGATTATGCTTTTGGCAAAAGATAATCAACAAATAGACTGAGTCTGTTTAGCCTTCTAAAGCTTCAAGTGGCCAACTTAGGCTAGAATTAAAAACGGAATCAACAATCTGCCCGAACTGTTAAAGACGCAATGCAGAGACTTGCATCCATTTAAAGATATTAATGTAGATTTCCTTTTCCAAACTGACCTTATTTTAGACTTTAATTTAAATATAAATATGAAATGTATATTTAATTTTATTTTTTCCCAAACATCTATTTCTCACATATTAAAAAAAAAAAAAAAAAATTCTCCCTAGCATCAAGCACTAAGCAATAGCGGTAGGATTGGTTGGGAACTTCGAACCCAACCCAAGGCCAAAGTCATTAAACTTACATGGATTAGTAGCCAAGGACTAGGGCGGGCGGACCTATGTGTGCACCCATGAGGGTTCAAAACGCACCCGAAATTCACTTCAGGCCAGCTCGCTGACGCGGCCCTCTGAACCGGCCTCGGCGGGGCCTCGAGCTGGACCGCAGGCCGCCGAAGGCCCCGGGCTTAGGGGTCCGGGTAGGCGCACTTCCGCCCGGGCGGGACGGTGCAGCCTGCACCTCGTGGGCCCCGGCTCGCTCGGTTCCGGGGTGCGGGCTCGGCGGGGGCCGAAGCCGTCCCGTCCC